AATATATATATATATATATACATATATATATATATATATGTATATATATATATATATATGTGGCCATCATAATGGTGCGAAGTGGTGCCACTCCACACGGGGTCATTTTATATAGTACAAGGGACTGAATCCCGGGCTTTCACACTGAGCTATATCCCCAGCCCTCTTTTTATACATATATTTTAAAATTTTGAGTCAGGGTCTCACTAAGTTGTTAAGTTTCCCAGACTGGGCTCAAGCTGGCCAGTCTCCTGCCTCAGCTTCCCAGAGTGCTGAGAGTTCAGGCGTGCACCACCACACTGGTCTTCCCCCGTCATTTTCACTCACGAGGATTCTCACCCTTCTCGTTCAGCTGACAAGGTGCTTGATTGCCTTATGATTGGCAGTTTCTGTGGCTGTACTTTAACCTAGGGCTCAGGGGAGGAGGGAAATGCTCTAGTAGGGAAGTCTGGGTGCCCCAGGGCAAGGCACTGGGCTGTGATCCCCAAAGGTAATTCCTTTATGGGGTACATGGGTGGAGGTGCTCACAGAGAGGAGCTGATCTGAGAGCCTCCATCTGCAGAGGAGGAAAGGGACACCCAGGGAAGTGGCCTGAACAGGGACCTGAGCAGACTGGGTGGGAGAGAGTGGCTGTGACACCAATCACTGTGCCTGGCTCAGAGAGACTCTGCCTGCTCAGGCCCCAGCCCAGTCACCCAAGGGCTGGGCTATAGCTTCCTGTGGCAGTGGCATGGAGAGATAGGACAGGAACAGGGGGCAGGAAGGAGGGGTCTCATCTGTGCACTCCAGAGATTTCATTTCTAAGACAGTGGTTCTCCTTCTGCAGCGTGCACAGGGATTGTGGGGAGAGCTCAGTCAGTAACAATACCGCCCTGGGCCACCTGCACAGTGGGGCTTCCATGGGGCTGGCTGGCCCAGAACAGGCACTTTCAGCCAGTGTTAGGTGACCTTGGCCTTGGCCACACTGGAATTACACCAAGGTCTCTTGGGCACAAAGTTCCTGGCCAAGGGGACTCTGGCTTGTCTTTGCTTCTGTGCAAATGTTGCCCCCTACCTCCGTTTCCTGTTGTGCGAGTCAGAATCTCCTTCCCCAGACTGATTTTGACTGGAGGGTATTTGGCTGCTCAGGAGTGCCCAGCTTTATCAGTACATCCCTCGTTGGTCTAGCACTGGGAGGAATAGTTGCACAAATGGATCGTCCCAGATACTAGGGTCCTACAGACATGGGTGGAGGGAGCTGGGATTGAAGGTCAGGGTATGAGGTCATTCCAGACCGAGAGGGGAGAAACGTAAACCCTCATTTTTTGCATGTGATAATGCACCAGAAAACCCTTTAGAAAGGCCAGTGAATAGACAAAATAACAAAGTCTGAAGATAGCACATTAACCTTGGCCAGGTAGCCTCAGCAAATGGCTTGAGGCTTCAGCAAGGTGAGTGCCCACTGCTGGGAACCAACTCCTCCATGGAAGCTGCCCACACTTCTGTGCTTCTTGCCCTGTGGCGGGTGAGCCACTGTGATACCTGAATTCCTATAGGTGGCACCTGGCCAGAGCGCAGAATAGATCAACAGTGGGAGAAAGTCATTCCCTTCTCAAGCTCACTGTCACACTCCCAATCCTGCCACAGGGTGGCGCTGGTCCATCTCCATCCTCCACAATTTGGATCTCCCTTCTAGCAAGAAATTATCTTCAGGCTCAGACTGTCAGCCTGAGGCCAGCAGCCAGCTAGAATTCTGTGACATCACTTTGCTTTCTTTGATTGTTCACTGATAGGAGAGACAATTCCTTTAAAAATAAATCCGTGTAGGTAGAGACAAGGAGATTCTGTTTAACAAAAGTATTAAGAAACCAGTTTGGGTTGTGGCAAATTTTCTGAAGATGGATTCACTCCTGACTAAGGTTTTGGAACCAATTGGTTAGTTATGTGGCAGGGCTTAACTTTCTCGTGTCTGGCAGTAGAGCTTCGGGGGCAGGGCAGGATCTTCAGTGGGACTTGACACTTCTGGTGCAGCCTGGGGGGGTTGTGCTGTCTTTAGGCTGGGCGTGGCATGCTGATCTAACCACAGCAGTTACACGCAGGGAAGCTAGCGTGGGGCAGGTGGGTTTGACTGGGTGCATCTTGGGTTGATTAGTTAACTGCTCTGCAGCTTAGTTTTTTTTATCTGTGAAAGGAGGGTGACACTGGTCCCCACCTCAGGTTGTTGGAAAGCTCAAATGAGAAAATGAAACATGTCACATGTGGAGACTTCACAACCGTTTGTCCTGCTATTATTATTACTATCATTAGCCATTATTGTCAGTGAGTTTGGAATTTTTTTTTTTCTTTTTCTTTTTGCAAACCCTTGAGTGCCACCTGGGGGAGGGGCAGAAGCAAGAGAACAAACTCAGCACAAAGTCTCCTGGAACTGGTTTGTCACACCAACCCCCTCCCCACCATTTTCCCTGGGATCTTTGCCAAGCCCCAAGCCAGGAAACCTTGTTATATTAATTATGAAGAAAAGCATGTTTTATTTAAAATGCCGGCTGCCGAATATTCTGCCACACTGTTTCACAGTGACAGCAGAATTGCTTTTGCATTTGGGAAACCCTAATGAATTTAGAATATAAATATATCTGTGTCTATATACACAGGCGATTTCCTGTGACCTGATTTCCCTAAATACCAGTGTATACCGCCAAAGCTAATAAGTTGAAGTCATGCTTAGGATCAGTTAAAAAAATGTATGAGAAGTTCAAGTTAAATTCAATCCCTCCCTTCTGTAGCAGACTGTAGATTAGAGCAAGAGGGAGAAGGACACCTCTCCGTCTCTCCTGGTCTGAAAGACTTTTGGGGTCTGAGAGCCTTGCAGGGGGCGGCTCAAATCCTACCATTAAAAGGCTTATTTGGTTTTGTGGCCCATGTGTGTTTTTGTGCTTGAATCAATTAGAGGCTGAGACTGGTCACTTGCCTGTCCCAAACTGGCCCCAGGACTTCCATAGCTTTGCGAGCAGCAGCAGACAAGTGTGCTCTGTCTCTCTCTGTGTCTCTGTGTCTCTCTCCTTGGCAGAACCGGACAGTGAAGGCACAGTAATCCAGTGGGAAGGGACCACAGGATCTGGGAGACTCTGAGTTCTCCTGATAACAGAACTGGCTACTCACCTCACAGTACTGTGCAAGATTATGTGAGCCCAGTGTGACCAGAATGTCTGATTTTTAAAAACTCTCAGAGAGCTGTATCTTTGAGTGAAATGCTCTGACTTCCAAATGCTGCCTGGCAACTAAAAGAAAGCTAAACCACTGTGCAGGCTGAGCTTCTGGCCAAACGAAGCCCAGGCTATGCACAGAGTGTACTCCATGCTGCTAAATTGCAACCTCGGGTCTCTATAACTGTTACTGTGGCTCTATACCTAGGAGTATTCTAGGGGTTATAGGTCCCAGAAATGCAAGCAAATAAGCATTTTAACATCAAGATGTCTTTGTTTGGGGAAGCCAGTCTCTGCTCCTTTCTAGGGATGAGTCAAGATAATCAGGGGAGGTCCAACAAGTCATCCTCTGGCTTCCAGCCCTAGGAGAGGTCAAATTCCATTTCAGCTACCCAGTGTGCCCCAAATCACTCCAAGAACTACAGCAGGGAGATTTCTGAGGCAGTCTCCATCTTTCTTATAGTAGACAAGAAGTTAGGTGGACCTGTGTCCCAGTCCTGGCCAGAAAGTTAGTTTAGCACTTCTGGGCTGATTTCGAATTCAGAGGGCAGGACTAACAGCACACAGCTGTGCTGGGGCTAGGTGTTAAAACCGATTAATGTGGAAAAACCCATGTAGAGCAGGAGAGAAAGATGCACGAAGGGAGCCCTGGACTTCGCAGCAATATTAGGCCCATATCTCTTTAAACAATAGACTAGTAGATATATAAAAATCTAAGTTAAAGATGATCCCAGAGAGCGGTCAGTATAATATTTGCTGCATGATCCGAATTCATGGAAGACTTCCTGGTGTCTTGCCAATAGGTAGCCATCATAGGTCCTGCAACCAACCTGTCTCCAGAGGGTCAGAGGCATGTGGGGTTAACGACATTCCACCCAGCACCCAGGGTCCTGGTCTGAGCTTCCTGTGCCCACCAGGAAGACCGTGCCCCTGATGCAATTTGGACCAAGACTCCCGGCCTACAGCCCAGAGCTCAGCTTCGCCACTTCACAGCTATGTGACTTGGAGCCAAGTTATCTGGCTCAGCATCTATAACACAGGAATTGTGACAGCGCCTACCGCTTCAGTTCCTGCTGGAGATGAACCCATCTGCAGAAAGCTCCTGGCCTAGCACTCAGGGCCCCTCGTTATGTGAGAGCAGTTGGTTATTATCTTTAACTACATCTGGCTATGTGGCTTCTGCCTCCTGATGATGTCCCAAACTCTCCAAAGCATCTGAGCGACTTGGCTACTTTCCCCCTGATGCCTGTGTGCAGGCCCATGCAATGTGAGCTGCCTACCCGACCACCTGTCTGGCACACATCTGGGTAAGAAAATATTCCAAAGCCCCAAATCCTCTCTTTGGAATTGACTAAGCTCATTGCCTGAAGGCTATCTCTCATATTTTCCCTTTTATCCATTATTGACTTATCATTTCATTGCTAACCCTAAAAATTCACTGGGGCTTGCAAAAAAGAGATTTTTTTCAGGACCATTATCCTTTTGTGAACTTCAAACAGACTGCATCAACCCTTCCCCTTGCCTGCAAACTTTAGGCTTAATTCCTTCCGACTAGTACTTTCTTTAGACCTCTCATGGGCCTCCGATAATTTCCACAGCCTTTCTCTAGACCTGTGGGATTTCTGCCACATCTCAGCCCCAGACAGCTAGCAAGCAATCAGGTGCTGCAGGGCCACGGTAGCAATCTGTAGTCACAGCCACCACACATATATAAGTCATGATTTGAAATGAAAACCCTTTCCAAAGATCACTTGGCAGCTTACTACATGTGTAAGAGAGGTGTCCGAGAAGTTTACTGAAAGAAGAAGAGAAGCTGTTGTCTTAAAAACATGCTAATGAGAACACCTGAGTTCAATCTGCTTTCTTCAAGAAATGCTGTATGGTACAAAATGGGAAATAAAACACATAGGCACTTAATACGAAGCAGAGGTTATGACTGTTACTTTGGTTCTCACCCCCTGCCCACTCTCTCCTCCATCTCCTCAATAAAGGGGAGCATTCTCTGATTTTTTTTCTTTTTAGAGAGAGGTTGTGTTCATTCTGGAAATTTTAAAGGAAAAGAGATAACATTTAACAAGAGCCACATGCGTGACCTCGTCTAATCGTGACCTCCAGATCTGTGAGAGATTAGTACTTGGTTTGCAGGTGAGGACACTGAGGCTCAGAGAGATTGTGTTACTGGCCCAACATCCCCCAGCCATGGTGTGGCAAAGCTGAGATTTGATTCTTGCATCTAAGTCTCACACTCATGCCTCAGCCACAGCTGGTGTGGGACTGCCAGGAGCCTGAGTTCCTGTTGAAGGCCCTCCTTCCTTTGTCCACAGAGATCCAGCTGACACTTGGGCCTCAAGGGCACACAGAAAGAGTCCACTCATCTCGAAGGTCTTCCCATTGGAGACCCTCTGATGCCACTTCCCTTCCCTCTCAACACAACCCACGCTGGGCTCCTGTTCACCTCTGCCCTGACAGATCCGCTGTGAGAAAAATGAGGAAAAGGACTGACCATGAAGCTTCTCCCTAAATCTAATCCAACTAAGAAAAGCCTCTGCCAGGTCATTTGTAGACAGCAGGATTCCCCTGGAAGGCCAAGCATGACAGATCTCATCCTTGGGTGGGCCCCAAATGGCTGGGAAACTGGCCGTGCATATGTCAGCACTGGCACATAAATCTGTTTTTCTGAGGAGAGAGTCTGTGACTTTCAAAGGCTTCTCAAAGGGGTTTCTGAGATCTGTGCTAGGTTACAACCAAAAGGTTAGGGGGTTTTCTTGACCCAGTCTCCTTTGAGGGGAAGTGTTCATGAAGGCTGTGCTCCCAGAGGGCTCAAGTCTGATGTAAACCCCTATGGAATGAACAGCTTGGCAGCAGCTCAAGCTGTAGGCCCACGTGTGGTCTTGTAGACAGAAGTTTCAGCATGACAACCTGCCTTTCACAGCTCCCAGCCACACTAAGTGGTCATCCTAATAACTTCAGGTCCTCCATCCACAGGTATCTGAGGAGAACACTTACCCCGGCTGCACACTTTCCCATCAGGACAATCAACAGCAGAACCCGGAGCTCAGACATCCTGGCAAACATCACAGCAGTTTGAGGCCTCCTGGTTTGCTTTCAGTGTGATTTCTTTTGTTGTCTGTGCTTTGAGGGGTGGGTGACAGTCTCTAAGGGTTCAGGAACAAATGAAGAGGATGCAAATTATTAACTAGGCATCAAATACTGTTTAATGTTTAATGTTTTGCAAACCAACTATCTTGGTTAAACAAATGGCAACTTTGGGGCTGCGCTGAGTCATGGGGTATTTTCTCTTCTGGGAAGAAAATCTCCAAAGAATGTGGCCAAACAAAGGTGCTCAAGGGATGTGCTGAGCTTTGAGGGCAGAGGGCCTGACGTACCTCAGCCGCAGGATGAAAGGGGCGGCACCTGTCTCAGGCCTCTGCCTCTCTTCATTTGGGGAAGATGTCAATAGATTTCCGATTCATCAAATCTCAAACAGAATTACAGCACAGATGGGCTCCTAATAACATCACACTTTATATTCATGAAAGATAAATTAAAGGATGCAAAACTGCTATTGACAAACATTGATTCGAGGCCCTTTGAAGTGTTGCCTCCACTTCCTTGTTGGCTTCCAAAGTTTTCTTTTCAATCTCATTACGTAACGTTTTTACTTTTTAATTATTTTCCTCCTTTCATTGGAGTCTTTCTTTGATCAATGGGAGGGAAAAAAACATTATGCTTAAATAGCAGGACAATTGTTCCTTATTTAGCTACACTGGCCACAGGGAGAGTTATATAAAGCAGCAATTACCTATGAAGCATGGGTTCTTGTGGACCCAGCTGATCTTTTTAATAACGTGGCCTTGAGCCCCTACAAACACCTGACCACCACAGTAATGTGGGCACCAGGAGTCCTTCAGACTCAAGACCTCCAGGCAGGTCCTGAGCTGCCACCAGAGAAGTGATGTGTGTACCTGTGCCTCCTACCCATCTCCTTCCTCCTCTGCCATCCTCACTTGGCACTGGACAGGGTTCAAGAAGATTCCCCACAGTAGAGATGAGGAACTGTGATTTGCCCCACTCACGGGACAGGTTGTGGGTTCACTGATTTTCTTCACATAAAAAGAATTTTCAGAAAGTGTCAGTTGGAGCACAGAGATTTATTAGGCAGACGTTTAAAAGTACACTCTCAAAGAAATACAGCGCAGGCTCTCAAGAGGGAGAGAGGCCCTTGTGGCCTGGAGCTGGGTATAGTTCTAGGAACTTGGGGGTATCCCTTGGGGGTGTCCTAAGTGTCCAGTTTTGCTTAATTGGTGGGCTATATGAAAATGCAAACCATTTTACATGTGTTGGAAGCCGAGGGCTGCTATCCTCTTAGTAGTGTACTTCCTGAGAATGGATGTTGGAAGAAAGCCCTGTTTATCGGTGAAAGGGATACATCCTGGAGACTAGTTTATAGGCTTCTTGTCTTTAAGGTTCTTAGGAGCTTTTCCTGGAAGGGAAAAAAGTTGTAAATAAATTTTAGGTCTTAAAGTTACAGTTTTTTTTAAAGTGCATTGTTAATATTACAATTGCCCCTATCTCCTTTCTATCTATATATTTTTTATTCTACCTCAAGACTGCTCAGTGGTTTCTCCCATCTCTGGAAGCCAGGTTGTTACATGGAGGACCTCACTGATCCCAGCCCAGGAGAAGACCAAAGTGAATGTCCCAGCCACCAGCTGGGCGCAGAAGGACCAGCCACATTACCACTTTACTGCCTAGGTAACTCTAAATTTGCTTTCTTTTCTCCACTTATTTTGTCTCCACCCTACTCAAGGCAGCAAGAACTCCCTTCCAGTCCAAATCTAACTGACTTCTATAGTACATGCATTTGCTATACTCTTTTTCCAGAACATTCTTCTCTAACCTTATCCTATCTTCCCAGTCCTTACTCCACCCTTGTCTCTGTTCTTCATGCTAACCCTAACCACTGATGGGCAAGTCAATTCAGTTAACACACCCAATTTATGCATCTTTTAGGTCTTAGCCCAAACATTTTTTCCTCAAAATCCATATGTGTATTTTTCCTTCATAGCATTTATCAAAGTCTTAATGATGTTCCTGTATTGCTAATTCCTTCATATTTGTTTCACTTGAGCTCCATATTAGACCGGATACCCCTGAAGACAGGTTTCTGTTTCCATTACCACAGAATTTCTGGCATAGACATCTGGCACTTGATAGGCACTCAGTAAATTTATGTTGGATGAAATGAACAAAGGAGAGCTTATTTTATGAAAGTAACAGTTGGCCATTTTATATCCAGGATACCTTTGCTGGGGTAGCCCACTCAATGTGAAAAGAAAAATGATGTTTAAAAAAAACCCCGAAAGTATTTGTAGCATTTGTGGTTCATTTCTAATGATTCATGAATACTACATTAATATTCTTCAGGTATTCTTTGGAGGGCTCCTGTGAGCTGGGCACTGGCAGCACAGGGATGAAGGAGGCCGATCTGAACTTCATGTGGAGGAAAAACATGCTCTGGTTCAGGATGAGAATAAATTGTTAATTTTTCTTTATGATGAGCAAGAAAAAAGCAAGATGGAAGGTGATAGAACAGAAATCCTCATGGGTGAGGAGTTTCCACAGACTGGGTGGTACAACAGTAGCTCAGAGTGTCATTGGTGTAGACTGGGGATTGTGTGGGTAGTCAAGAGTCAGCACACGAGGAGGCAAAGCTGGAGTCTCCCTAGCATCTGCACAGTCAGTAAAAAGCAAAAATGGAAATGTTCAGGCAAGTCAGATCACGAAATCAACCCTGTGACAGAGGTGCCTCTTTTCCCCTCCACTGTTTTATGTACTAGTGACCTTCTGACTTGGTGAAGAGATTCTGAGAAAACAACCCAGAAGCTTTTCTTCCTGTGTCAACAGGAAGTGACCCAGGAAAGTTTGCTGCTCACTTTTGTCATCTGGATTAATTTTCTTGTTGTGTGATCTTCCCTTTATTTCAAGCAAAAAGGGAGCAATTTTTCTCTTTCGGTTCCGAACTACAGGCTTCCCACGCATTGTCTTTTATTTCCCTGAACTTTTGTTATCATGACAATGTGAAATTCAATAAATTTCTCTGCTGAGTCCTAAAGGACAGAAATCTCTAAAAGACACTTAATCCCTTTCATTCAGGAGGACAAAGGGGCTGGTTTATCATGTCATATGTTTTTATCTGGGGAGTTGGAACAAACCTACCTGGGGTCTCTAGCTTTTAAATCCAAACATAGAGACTTCTGTGCTCATCCTGGTGGGGCATCAGATGGTTCAGATCACTGTTCTCTGAATGCTTGGGGTGACAGTTTCTCATGTGTTGGGTTACACACCATGAGTAGAGCTCCTGTCCCATACAGCTGGCCTTGGAATCTGGTTTTCTAATGGGTAGATGCCTCCACACTTAGGAAAGGCATCCTCCCAGTGCCCTGGACAGGCCCACCTTTGATGTACTGGCTTAGGGACACTTTCTAACAGATGGTTGGGCCTGAACAGTTTACATTTGTTTTTCTGCCGTCACAGTGCTCTCCCTCCTCATCCTTGTCATGGGAGCCCACAGAGAGGCAATCAAACTCGGCAGTCTGGATTCAATGCAGAGGGGGCTCTGCCAAGCCCCTCTGGCATGTAATCTTTAGATTAGTCATTGATTCTCTCTCTGGGCCTCCATTTCTGCTCAGAGAAGGAGTGACCACCTTCTTGAGAAGGACCCTTACCTTTTTGGGCTTCTAGAGGGTCAAGCTCAATAACATTTTCTGAAAGTTCCAGAAAGTAAATATTTCAGGTCTTTTCTGGTCATTCAGTTTCTGTTGCAGCCTCCCAGTTCCACTCTGGCATCACAAAAGCAGCCTCAGGTGGTCATTCTGCAAAGAAGCATGATTGTATTCCAATGCAGCTGTGTCTGCAAAAAAGGGCTGCAGTTTGCAGACCACTGCAGCAAGTGACATGGAAACAACCAAAGCCATGCGCAAGTCAGGGCAGTGGGGGATGCTGGAAAACAGGACAGGGGACCCTGGGCTGATGTCACACTGCCATCCTCAGAACCTACCCACAAAGCACTCAGCATTCCCTCTGGACAGCATCAGACAATGGCCATACTCTGACCATTCAGTCATTCATTCCACGAGTGTTGGCTGAGTGTCTACTCAGAGCCAAGCTGTGCTCTAGAGACTGAAGAAGACCAAGCTCCGGCCATGTGGGGAAGCCTTCTCTCAGAGTCACGAGGTTGATCTCCAGGTAGATTTCTAAAGTCGCCCCTGATCAAAGATCCCATGCTGCAGGGAAAGGTCTCTGGTCTTTCCCATCATTCCCATGGTGCCTGGCCAGATCCATTAACTTCCAGGGGGTCCTACTGTGAAGGGAAGAAGCAGAGAAAGTGCCTTGCTGACCTCCATGGGATGGGTAACCTTGCCCTCTTGGCCCAAGGCCCCCAGCTAGTTCATACAGTCATATTCACAGGAAACACCATGGGGTGTGCACCATATGCTCTGACCCATAAAACTTCAGGATGCCCCTTGCCCTTGAGGAAAACAGCATTCACTGGGCAGCTTCTATATTTCAGGCACTTTTATGGTCCTGAGCTCATATTGATCATTTTTTAAATAGTACTGGAGAGCCCAGGGTCTTTTTACTGATCTTCATTCCTGGCCCTTTTTTATTTTTAATTTTGAAACAGGGTCATGCTAAGTTGCCCAGGTGGGATTCAAACTTGCCATCCTCCTGCCGCGGCCTCCCTCAGTGCTGGAATCATAAGCATGTGCCGTCACACCTGGCTCCATATCACTCTTCATGACAATGGTGAAGGTGATTTGGTCCATTTTGCAGTTATAACAAGTGAGGCTCAGAGAGGTTTTGAACTTGCCCAAGTCCATGTAACCTGAAATAGGGTCAGGATCTGAAGTGTTACTGTCCCTTGTGGACTCCCAGGGCTTGGGACAGTGCCATCTGAGCACTTATAGAGGAAAATTTATCCCAAAGCAAAATCTGTGCATCACCTAATGACTCCCATTTTCTCCCCTTCCTCATTGTCACTTATTGAGCTGGCACGTGGGCAGTGTTGTTTGAAGAAATCACGTCCTTCCGAGAACAGAAGTCACACCCTCTTAGGCTGGGTGTTCTGGGAGGTAGAGTCACTGGTATTTGTGCACAGGA